ACAAATGACCGCCCACACCTTCCCTTGTCTCATGGTGTAGGATTCTACGGGGATAGGGTTGTCATGAGTTTCAACATCAAGAAGCGCAACTTTCTTCTGGCCAGTGTAGTAGGCCTTGTAGCTCCAGGGGCGGTTTAAGGCTCCACCAGCCCGCGGAATTGACAAGAATCTCCGGTGTTCAGTGGAGAAATGGGGAGTTCGATCTTCCGTTTGAAAACCATTCTTGTGCAACTCTTGGTTGGGAAGTGAGGGCACATTCCTGTAGATGAGATGATGAGATTAGTTGATGAGACAAGTACAGAACACTTCTAACTTGCATAACACTAATCAAACTTGTTTGGTTTTGAACGTGGATAGGCTCATCTTGGGGCAGCAGGGGTCGATTTGTCCAAAAGCACCCCAGCGGAACGCCGAGCCTGAGGCTCTCCCATGAGCTGCCCCTTGTCAGACTGCTAGATTGCTCGTTTATAAGGCTCACATGTCCGCTCGAGAACCACAGCTGGAGTTTGCTCCTAGCTGCTTGACTGCATTATTGTAGGATTGTTAATTGTTTGTTGCTCCTTTTTTTAAATAGCGACCTAACTGCCCAGTTAGCTCTCACCCCTTCCTCTAAAGACCGGCAGCACACAACCCACTGTCGGTGGTCCGGGGCACCGGCTCTGGCCGGTCCCCTGAGTCGGAGCCGCCCGAAACTCACTGATAGAGATATATGGATATATATACCAGCACCTTCCAACAGGTCTCCTCTGGAGGCTTTTGTAGACTTGAAAGTCGCAGGTGGTGACCTGTTGGAAGGTCCTGGTATATGGTATATAAGGATACTACTGAGAACAAAATTGAAGAACATTGCATGCAACAAAACCCATTGATTTGTCATTGATATAGGAATCATTCTCTTGGGACTATACGGTACGAACCAGGTCCGCAGGCGGAGGGCGGGCCCCAGGGTGGTGACAACAGAGCCCTCCGGACCCAGGTGGTTCCATCCAATGACCACCCTGACATGGTCGGTGGCGGTGAATAGGTGATCGCGGTGAAGAGGGGTACTGACGGATCTTTTTCCAGGTTTCTTGGCCCACTGGGGCGGCGAGTTGTTGGTGAAGAGAGGTGGCATGGTCCACGTGTTTTGGAAGCCTTTTCGATGCTTTGGTGACATGTTTTGGGTGAGAAGCCGTCAGTCTGCAAGTTGGCAAGCACTACAGGTTCCTGGTCCGGCGCTAGGGGCCCGGTTTCAATTTTCAGTGTTCCATTTCCAACCAAGAGAGGTAGCCAGTGACCGTAAATAGGACCCGTCACCTGGGGTACCTATGGGTTTGCCTAGTTCGGGTCATTCAACCTCTTCTGGAACCTACAGACCAGGAATTTCCCGCACCTTGACAATTTGCTTGACTTACCCACACTCTCCGTGTATGCGTATGCCTACATTGACAGTCCCCATGTGAGTGTCTGGCTGGCCGGGAAAGTCGGGATCCGAAAGAAGACCGACCGATCGACCGGATCTTCGGGGATCTCAGCCCGTTTTGAACTGCGGCTTTCAGGTGGATCCCGTTCTACAGCACTTTGTTCGTGCGTCTCCCTCCAGCAGCCTGCGGATCCTGACGGACAGCTGGGCCGCTCAGCTTGGTGTTGGAGGTGGAGATGCCTGGGAGAAAGCTACTTTCCTTTACTAGCAGGTGGTGGGAGGCCATCGCTATTTGGTTGGAGGCCATCGCTTCTAGGCTGAATGGACACTATAGATCTATTCGGCACCCCTTCACGTCTTTTTACTTCTTTGGCCTTTTCATAGACGCCCCAAACAGGGGGTCCTTTTTTGGGTGCTTTTTGCAGGTCTGTTTGTGACCTCCAACCGATGAACTTCGGTCACGAACTGAAGATTCCAACAACGTAGACTCTTGAGGAGTTTTACTTACAAAAAGGACTCTCAGGTTCCAAAAGGATTTTTGCGGGACCCGCTGAGGTCCTGCACCTGGCCGCCGCGCCCCTCGCGGCGCCAGTGGGGCCCTGGCCGCCCCGGGCGGCGTTGGCGGCCGAGCGGCGGCTGCGCGCGGGCGCGCGCGGGGCGTGGGCCGGTGAGGCGTGGAGGGGCCCGGAGGGGTGCAGAAGTGAGCGGCTTGTCCGTGTTTCGAGTTGAAGTTTCGAGGTAATCTTTTTGGAGCAAGGACACGTTCTTTTTCTTGAGAGTGCATCCTGATGTGGAGAACATGAATATGTAAAACTGTAAAACAGCTTCGGGCATCCTAGTTCAAGCGGGCGCTTTCACCAAAATCTTAGATGATATGCCGTAGACCGGCCCAAAAAGAAAGCCCACTTGGTCTCGGTTTGCATAGGAAGTTGGAAAACAGTTCGCGTGGGTTGGTGGTCCAAACATCGAGGTCACCTAAGGACTCCAGGTATAAATATCATATCATTATGCAGCAGAATCACCTTAAATCCATACAACATCATGCCCCAGACACTGCCGGTCACCAGACCAGCACCCTCCCCCCCCTTTTTGGGCACGGCCATGCCGACGGTGGGGTCCACTGCCAGGAGCTCTACTCCCATGGTGCAGCGGCCTGTCGCATCGCCCGTGGCTCGGCTCGCAATAGCTACGCTCTTCAAATCCTTCGATGAAGCCAAGCGGAAGCGATCTCTTGAAAGCTGCCTTTTCGCCAGGTTGAAACCCTGGAAACTCGAAAACAAAAAATCGACTCGAATCGATTCTATTTTTTGCACTTTTCCATACTTTTCCTAGGTGATCCCTGATCGGCATGAGGGGCACCTACGGGTGCGGCATTGATCTTTTTGACTTAGTTTCACACGTTTGTTTGATATCCTCACCCCCGAACCTGTGGCACGCAAGAAGAAGAAGAAGGAGAAGAAGAAGAACCATTGGTTTGATGTGATTTGGCTTCATGAGATGCATGCATGAATGAGTGTGTATATATGTACAATATAATGATGTATCTCTCCCTATCTATGTGTATATATATATATTATATATATATGTATATCATATATGTGTGTGTGTAACCCATAGAATCGCCATTCAAGTGCATTGAGATCCTTTTTCACCCCTGAGTTCGCACCAGCCCAGGCTCTCGGCGGCATCCCGGAGTGCTGGTGCATGATAACTGTCATGGTGAAGATTGGGAAAGCAGGTCAGTGGCACCGACGGGTGGGGCCAACCTGCCCTTCTACAACGCCTCCTTTCAACGAGAGTGGATGGAAAACGGTACTGAAAGGATGAACCATTTTCCCCCGTTCGGTCACGGGTGGTGAACTCCACTTCCATGAGGTATTTCAGGGAGTCTAGAGTCTCACCGAATTATACCCTAGACATCCCTAGACCATGAAGTCCAAAGAAGCCTATATCTTGCTCCACTGAGGAAGTTCTTTCCAGGGTCGCTAAAAGGTCCATTTCTAATCTAGTTTCGGATTTTGAGAGGGTTCATTTACCTTTTGAGTTGTGCTGCTGCGGTGGGACTTTTGTGCATGTTGCAGCATCCACGTCTTCAATGTTCTCACTCATTCTGATCTAAACCAGCTGTGTATAGGCACGCGTAGCTCCAATATCAACCCAGTGGAACAACAAGACCGACCGCCTAGCAAACCAGCCGCGGGCAACAAAGGCACGCAAGAACCTGAAGAAACAACGCGTTCCGCCGCGCAGGCGCCAAGGAGATTGGTTCCACTGCCCTTTGAATGTTCCACTGGCCATAATGGCCACCTCGAAGAGTGGCTCCACTGCTACGGCACGCTGGGCGCTGCAGATGGACTATCCCAAGGGCCGGGACTTTGCGTGGCTGGGTGGAGAAGTCCAAAACGGTTGGGATGCACCATGAATTATTAGGAGATGGGGTTTGTCAATCAAGTATAGTTGCGGTAGCTGCGGTTCAATCAGTAGTTACTTGAAAGATCTTGGAACACGGCGCTGAGGGAAGGAGTCCACCCCTAACATGACCAGTCTTCCGGAATATCTGGGCATGGGCCAACCACACCCAAATACGTGGTAGGTTGGCATTGCATACCACATCTCAGGTCACTTTCTTCATGTTTTCATCAGGGTGCTTCTAGGCTTTGACCTACGGCCATGTCCGAATCGCAAATCCCAGCAGGGTGACGCCCTTCCTCCTCCTCTTCCTCCTCCTCCTCCTCCTCAGATCAGGTTGATGGCCTCCACCTGGTCTCCCCATGCGGGCTCCAGCAAGCGCCGCTTTCTGGACTGGGGGGCACGCTGGCTCTGGCGCGGGGAGGACAGGCAGCAGGAAGCTCAGACAGATGAGCTGCCTGAAGCAACAGTAACTACACATGGACCCTGAGAATGGTACCCTCAAAGACTGTTTTCCTCTAACTTTAGGTGTGAAACAGTGCGGCAAAGTAGGTGTGGCATACGAAAGTATTGGGCTGTGTCTGCCCTGCTGTGCGCATTTGGGCCTTGGTTTGATGTCAATGTCATGACTCTCATGACTAAGCGTGGAATTCTCGGTTTCCACGCTTCGCTGGTGGGAGAGTCATATGGTTTTGCTTTCCGATGTCCCTCACCTGGACACCCAAGCGCTGTCTCGAGTGTCGCCTCGCTGGACAGGACCCAACCAACGCGAATGAGGAGAGCCTGGAGCGCTTGAGGCGCCTGGCGCAGCCGCAGCGCTTTGGCGATGACACTCTGGCAGTGCCCAGGTGGAGTGGATTGAGACCCGGCTGCGAGTGCGCACCGGGGACCCAGAGGCGGCCAATGGCTGGCACAGTGACCAGATGACAAGGGTTCCGAAGCAGACTAGATAGAACTGATAGAGAACCACTGATGCCCTGGTCACCACTTCTCCTCAGCTCCTGATGAAAACCCAAGAGAGCACCTGCTTCAGAACCAACTTCTCATTTCGCTGCTACGACCCGACCGCCCCCGACGGTGCGTTCCCCAGGACCTGCTGTCGCTTTGGCCACGGCCGGCTGAAAGTCCTCGTGGTCCGCAACCCCTACGCGCGTGCCTCGGTGGGCGAGGGCGGAGGCCGGTGAATGGAACTGGACCTAAGACCATCGATGACCTACAAATTAGATAATACTTATGTATATATATAGTTAACTATATACCCAGCCAGCACATGCCGGCAATATTGGATAACATGGAGTGCTAAAGGCCCTGGAGGTTTGCCCAGCTGAAGGACACAATCTTTGAGTCTTTCAAAGGTGAGGTTGTGGACCCGTCCTTTGAGCCGGGTCACTGCCCACGACTAAGTGAAATGATCATCCACGCCAACCTTTTTCCTACCAGCAGGGAGTTCCATCAAACCCGTGCAACTCACAACCTTAGAATAAGCACAAACATGTTTTTTCCCCAACGAGTTTTCTGCGAAGTGCAGCAAGGACTGCAACTTGTAGGATGTTGAGTGCCCCAGTTGGGTGGTCACATTTTGAGTTAACAGCTAATTAGCTGGGCTTCTCTCTTTGGGCCAAATCCGAACAACCGCACCTGAGCCTGGACAGAACGCCACGTGGTTGATTCACAAGCGATGGGTTTTTCCAGCCGGCTGGAGGATTCATCTCTGCCTATCGCGAGATGTTTCTGGCCGCTCGGCAACCATGAAGCCGTTCCAAGCTTGTGTGTTTCAACTGCTGCACGTGATACTTTTGGCTTTTGCTGTGCCCTTGGAGGTGCAGGTCTCCCAATTTCAGCCACAAGGCTCCTGTGATCTCCGAGAGAAGAAAGACCACTTTTTTTCGAGGCCTTGCTGTGAGGATCACAGCTCCCCTCCAAGGGTTTAGTCTGTTCCGGTGGCATCACCGAGGTTCGTTTTAAAGCCTCCCCGGGACACTTGAGAGCTGCCCTCCTGATGCAGCCGGTAAACTCTGACGAAATGGTGTGTTCCAGCCTGAACTCACCTTCTTTTTGGAGCCATCCCATTTCACAGCTTGGACCTCAGACATGGGGTTCACCCAATTAACTTTGGATTCGGCTTCTTCAGCCCACTTCCACCGAGCTTCACCCCAGCCGCCCCGGTCGAGCGATCACCGAGCGCCCGACCTCAGGCGCATCCGGGGCGCGGAAGCGCGGTGGCACAGGGCTTCTTGCAGCGAAACAGCTCGGTGGAGCAGCTGGGTGGCGAAGGGTGGGGCTTCGAACCTCGTGGTGCACCCAGCTTAGGTGTGTCATTTCTGTTTCATCGAGGTGGACCACCTGATAGCTTAAAACATTTTGATCAACAAATGAGGTCCCTGGCCTTCTTCAGTGCTCTGAGGGGCAGATTCTATTTCCCAGACACTCCATGGAATGGGACATCTATCTAAATCTGCTCCTCACGGATCTACTGTAAGGCTTGAGCCCCTCACCAATCGGAGCTCCTCACTCCTGGGTGACTGCGTAGGGCCGGTCCGCCGGTCCGCCTACTACGCCAGGGCCGAGCCGTTGGAGGGTCCGCGCAGGTCGTCTGCTGCTCCTCCTGAGGTTCGACTTCCGCAGCTTCTTGGCGTTCCTGGCCACGGCCGACTTCGTCCATGCCCTTCACGGCCCCCCGGACGAGCAGCTGCGGATCCTCTTCGCCACAGGCCGATGGGAGGGGGCCAAGCTTGGATGAGTATGAGGAAGAAAGGGGACAAGCAAGAGAGGTGGAACGTGACCTGCAAAAGGACCCGGAAAACCTGGGGCACCTATAGGGTAGTCTTTTTGGGGTCCTTCAACCTCTGTTGGAAGGGGAAAGTGCTCTTGAAAAAGAGTTTGGAATTGGACATTCGCCCGGGGTGACGACTGGTTGCACAAGGCAGTGTTTCTTGGATTCCAACTTCCAAACTATACATTGGACTGCCCAGATTCCGAACAACCATTGGTTTGTTTACTATAGTGAGGTCCGACATGGTATGACATCTTCCCCCACAGCCACTCCCCACAGCCACTCCCCCGCAGTGCCTACACCCAAACCGCCGCCGCCTCGGTGCTCGCGGCTGGCGTCGTGCACGCGTTCCCAACAGAGGTCAAGTGACCTGAACTAGGACCTTAATGGGATACCCAACTGGGATAGTCGAACGTTCGGGTCATGTAGGGATAGTATGGGATACCCAACTGGGATAGTCTAGTATGGGATACCTCTATGGGATAGTCTAGTTCGGGTCATGAAAAACCTCTGGTCCAGGCGAAGGCCGTTGGGAGACGACCTGGATGACCCGCCTGGAGCTTCACAGCGTCAAAGTGCACGCTGGGCCGGTGAGCGAGTTGAACCGACGCTCGGTGAGCGAGGGGTGCGAGCGGACGCGGGCGCAGCAGGAGGCCTTGTTTCAAGCAGGAGGCACAGTAGTGATGAAGCTATATTTGCATAATTGGATATAATTGGTATTTACATAATATATATATATAGTATACTATAATAATAATACATATATATTATATAGGTTACATACATCATATAATATATAGAGTTATATAGCCTGACACGACACACAAAGTCCAGATCTGTAGGCAACACATCTTCAGCCTCCAAGGCCGAGTCTCTTTCAGATATATTCCTTTGGCCAAACAAGCAGTCGTTACATTTAGCCCCTGCTTGAACGACCCGAGAGATTTTGCTATTACCAGACCTGGACCTCGCTAGGGCCATGGTTTGTTTTTGCTCTTCGAACTGCAAGGCCCATCTTTCCAGGTCCACTTCCCAACCGTTTTGAAGGAAAAAGAAACGCGACCTCCCACAAAACATCTCCTCCACACGACATGTGGTGTCCTCCCGTCGGATGTCCTACTTCGCCGGGGAACCGTGGTCCAGGAAGTGGTCTTTGGTCAGAAGGGCTTCACCTCGTGGCCGGGCAGAAGGGGGGCGGGTGGTCAGTCTTGGGTTTTGGTGTTTTTCTTTTTTCTCGACAGGGCGGGTACTGTACAGCGAATTGGATGCAGTAGACTCCGTAGTCCAAAGGTACAACATACCCAACAACTGAGGGTCAATACCCCACTCGGAGTTCGTTCGAATCATTTTCAGATCTTCTCAGGGTGCCTGAGGCCATGGTCCATGAGCCATTCGACCATGTGCTCCTGCCGGTTGGCTTCTCATGGGCGCCCAGGTTCACCTGGAACGTCTCCAGGCAGACCTTGAGCGCTTAGAGCTGCGCCTCTGTCGAGAGCTGGGCTACTGCAGGTGCCGAAGCTTGAGCTTTGACACCCATACAGTTTTCTGGGCAACATCAGTTGATCCTTCCACATGCTACATGTACAGACTTTCCACTTGGGCTGCTTTGGAAGAAGATGGCTTAGAGATGCTTTCAGATTTTCCACCCCAATGATTGTTGGGCACTGCAGGGGTTGTCAGTTGACCCATTGTCAAAGCGGGACAGCCCCTCGGTGAGGCCGTTGCCCCCACTGCTGCCAGCCAACTGGGGTGCCAAGCGCCGGGCAACCGCGCGTGGCACCGCGACGGGCGTGCTGTGGCGCCGGGCATTGCAGGTGCAGCAGGTTCGGCTGCTGCTCGGCCGTTTTGGGGGCTGGGGAGGTTGAGGATTTGCCCAACATGGGTATAGATAAGTGGGTGAGTGAGAGACTGGGCACATGTGGCTGCAGAGAGGCCTCTAACGATTTGTTGGCAATCTGGCCCACGCCCACGCGTGTTTCTTCTTCGAAACTTGATCTTTGCAGTCAACTGGACTGGATCGAGTAACATAAACATGCATTTATATGCAGTTCTCCATGGTCCAGATTCCATGCATTCATTTAAATATGCCGTCCACTGGAATGCATTGCTCTTCCAACTTGGGAATTCCGAAGAGCAAAGATTCTCCCTCGGTTCTTTTGACGACTCCCGGTCAGCCCCATGTCAGCCTTCCCACAAACAACAAGACAAGATCCGAACCTTGACCGAAGCTCTGCAAGCAGCACCCCAGGCTCCAGCGCTATCAGAGGGATTTCGAACTTCTCGGCTATTCCATGGACATCGGCCGACTCTACGAAGTGGGTGGCTAGCTGGTGGGGTCAGCTGGTTGGGTCAGCTTCGCCCCTCCAAAGGACAGACACTAAGAATAGCCGGCACGCCGGGCTGCCCCGAGCTGCGTCCCTGCTCCCCGCTCAGCGCCTGCTCGGTCCAGATTTGCAAGGTGGAACGCCTCCAACCTCCGAACCGCGGACATCGGCACGTCGTCGGACGGGGAGCAGGAGAAAAGAAGGGGCCAGTCCTTGGTGGTCTTTCAGCGGAGCCAAGGGCAGCTGGCAAGATTTGATGTTAGACTGGTGTGGCTGACATCCGGTCGGCAGTGAAGACATGTGAAGACCTGGAGACGCAGCAAGGAATCTCAGCCCGCAAGATGCAAGATCTTGGGAGGTGGATGCCGCGTTCCGCAGAGGCGACTACTCCATGGAGATCGACTTTGACATGAAGCTTCAAATGCTTCAATTCCTGTTCCCAAAGATTGGAGCAGGGAGATCTGAGCGATGAAAAGTGGTCCTGCGACAAGGATGGAAAGTGGGGATAGGGATGAGAGATGTATTGTAAAGGTTTCCTGCCAGGCAGGTTTATCAATCATACTAACATTTTTGTGTCTTACATTTTCGGGTTATAACATTGTTGTCGCACATCACACGTCCAGACTCAAGACACCCCGCTTCCATCCATCGAGTCTTCATCTCACCTGCCCATGTCGTTGGCTCCGTCGGGAGTCCTGTCGTTGGCTCTGCACAAACTTCTGGAAGCGGGCTGCTTCCGGTCACTCTCCAAGGCTCACACGGAGAAGTTCTGTTCCGTGGGCAATCACCAAGAATGACGGTGGGGTTATGAACATCTCGACAGTTGATTCATAAAAAACACCGCAGAATGCAGATCCTTTACCATTGTTGGGCGGAAGTATTTTGTGGTAGTGGTGGTGGTAGTGCATGTCAAAAGCTTGTGGCCTTCAGCTCCGTTGCTCTCGCCTTCGCTGGCTCGACCCAGACGCACCCCGCGCGCGAGCGAGCGGTGGAGGGGCTGCTCTTCGCGGCGCCCGAGCGGTGGAGTGCGCCCGAGCGGGGCTGCCCTGCGAAGGTGGGCTGAGTCATTGGGGCGGTGGTTTCAGATAAAGAACGGCACCCCCAGGGTAGCTCCAATAAGTCTTTGGGATTTTTAGAAGCTCTTTAGTTTAGTATGGTCTTCATTTTGAAGTATTCTTTGGCCAAAAACATAGTCTTTGGGAAGCAAGTGTTCCTTGCATTTCTTCCAGACCAATGTGATCATACCTTCATGTCGTCCCCTGCTCCTCAACTTTCTTGGTGCTAAGAGGGACCCCCTAGACCACTTGTTGTAGTTTAAAAGCAATCAAATCTGTCCTGCCGAGAAGATGTGACCCCTCAATCTATCCACCCCAACTGATCGGAAGTCACATGCCAACATGGGTCTTGCAAGGATTTCTGCTCAAATCCTTGCGACAGAGCCACCCCTGTGATTTTTTGTACGACATATGACATATGACATATATATATATATACCTGGACCTTCAAGGGGTGTCCAATGGAGGTCCTTTAGTAGTGTAGGGGCTTCCATTTGGGCACGTCTTGGAAGGTCCTGGTATATATCCCTTACATCATGGGTGATCTGTTGGGCCAGGCGGGGGGGTTCAACCAGCTTAAGCCCTTGATGCATGGATTTGGACGGATCCTTGAGACCCACCCGAGGCCATGTTGGCGCCCACACGTGGCCCGGCCTTGAAGCACGCGGCCGGGGGTGCCCAGCGTGAGCCACGGCGGATGGGCCAAGGGCCAGTGAGTAATACAACCCCATCTGGGAGCGCACAGGAGATGACAGAATGCGGAACCCTCGCTGGCTTGTCCCACCCGGTGCTTGTCCCACCTGATAGCTGATTCAGAACTGATTGAAGAATTCCGGTAGCACAAATTGTGGCCATCGGAGCTGCGTGATCAGCTGCGTGATCAGCTGCGGCAGCCAATTCTTGGCCATCCATCCAGTCTGGGGCTCCAAGACAGGTCAACATGAAGATCATTCCAGGAGTCACCAGACGGGGTGGTGTTTAGTCCCTAAGTGAGTGGATAATGGGCACCCCTATCCTCCAAGTTCGGCCCCCCGTTTTGTGACTCCTGGTTGATAAAAATAACACGGTTGCTTCGGATCTTGCCTCAGATGATGCCAGTTTTTGGAAGTGTTGGAAGTGGGCCATGGCTGCGAACAGCAACTTCCGTAACCACCTCCGGTGGTCCCAACTAGTCACTGGGTGGGGTTCCTCCAACAAACATGAAAGTGGAAGAAGAGACCCACCGGTGTAGAAAGATGTATCTATGGTTTCAGATATTTCATGATATCTGATGCCACTGAGGCATCATATTTGTCTTCAACTGAGGCAATGGCCAAAACCTGCCTTGACATGAAGCATCCATGTCATATCAACTTGTGGCGCGTGTGAAAACTTGTGGCGCGCGCGTTCATGGTGAGGACATGTTGGCCGCCCGAGGCACCGAACCTCCGTTCCACCCTCGCTTCCCGGCCGTGCCGCTTCCCGTCGGGGCAGAGAGGCGAGCATCACGGAGCATCACCGGGGGTGCGGTGATGGCCTCTTAACATTGGTTGGTTGGTTAACAGAGGGATGCCCCGAAAAATGTGCGTACCAACCGATGGGTATATGGTCTTGAAATGTCTTGAAGACTATATATGGATATATATGGTTCAATAGATGATCTGGAGGTCTTGCAGAGGTAGCTTCCCACAGCACTTTCCTTCTTAAGCGTGGACACCCCAAGAGTTTGGGGGTGTCACCTTGGAAGGTGAGTCAGGGAGTGCTTCTTCACACACGTAAGGTGTGAGTTCGACACTGGAGCAATGCAAGATGCTTAACAGCCTGTTTGGTTGTACAATGCAGAGGTCATCATAGTCTTTCATGCTTTTTGGATCTTTTTGGTGTGTTCCTGTCGCAACTAAGACCTTGTGACCTTGAACGCCGCAGTACAACATCCTCCTTGCTGCAGGAGCTGCTGGCACCTACAGCGCAGCTGCATCCAGTGCGGTGGTCTTGGGCTTAATCTCGTCCGGGGTCCTTGGTATCGGCTGGGCCTGGCAGCGCTGGAGGTTTTGCTTCACGCACCCTGCTTTTCGTGTGCGGTCGTCCTCTTTTGGCAGGGGAAGACTCAACAGATCCTGAAGCCTTAAAAAGAAAGAATCAACAAGTCTATGTTACGGAGAGGGCGATTCAGAGGGAGATGTTTGATGTACAGAACCTTTCTTCGAAGGTTGACGATCAGGTTCAACGACCTCCCATGCCAACCGCTTGCTAAAGACCTTGGGTCATCCTTGGAATGCTTCCTTACAGGATCTCCTCCCTAAAGGCTTGAGAAGCCGGCGCCTGATGGATGTGCATTTCAAGACGAAGCCCAGGACATCCCAGGCAAACCACTATAGCTGGGAGTCCCAGTGGTTCCAAAGACTAAAACCATAGACCGAACGAATCCCTGGTTCCTTACATAGTGGTTTGCCCAGGATCGGTACGGAATACCCTCCAACATCTCGACCCTTTCTCGGCTGGGTAGGGGAGACATGTTCCAAACCCAGAGGGTCGGAAGACCTGCGGTTCGGTCTCCCTATTTCAATGGGTGTGAGCCCCCTTGTTCAGCGCCCCAAACCCATGGATTTGGGGTGTTGGTCCAGTTTCCTTCTTCGAGCAGGTCCAACTGCAGGGTCTCCCGGTCCAACCACGTCCACGCCCCGCACGCTCCATGTATTTCACGGACCCACTTTCCAATCACAGGCAGCGTGCAGCCTTCCGCACCCCTCGTGCAGCCTTCCGTGCCAGCGCCCGGGCGCTGCGCAAGCGGGGCCTCACGCTGCTGGCGCGTGGCGGCGAGGTGCGGGGCAGATGGCAGGAATTCTGAATTCCGGCTGAGAGAAACGGATTGTTGAACTTGGGAAGGAGGGTTTTGAGATTTCTGGCCAATCTGTGCTTGACGAAGATTGAACACATCTTTTGAGAGCTTAGATCCGCCTGGGCCTACACCTTATCGCTTGGTACTTGTACCCACACCCGGCGGCTCGTTTGGAAGAGGCTGAAGCGATCGAAGCTCCAACGACGTTGGCGCTCAGATGGGGTGGGCAAGGAGTGGTGGAGTGATTTCAGAGCTGCAAGCCCCAAGTACTGAAGTCAATGAAGCTTGTTTGGGTTGCAAATCACCAGACTGGGTGGTTTCAGATATTTCAGAGTTTTGTGCCTTTACCTGCCCTTACTTGGGGTGAAGCAGAGCCCACTTGACTAACATTCTTCTGAGTTGAAGGCACCAACCAGAAGAATTCACTGGTCCTTTTGCATCGTTTTGCGCCGTTGTTGGCTTTTAGCCTCATCCGTTGGCTTGAGGTTCAACTCCGCGGTCGGCGGGCGCTTACGGGTGAAGCAGATCCTTGAGGCGAGCAGATCTTTGATCGTGAAGGGGGAAGGTGCCGGATTCATGTTTGTGGTCTTGCTGACCTTGGCCTTGTCCTACGAGACTTCTATGAGCCTTCAGCAGCTATATCAGGGCTTAGCGGGGCAACCTGTAGCGTGCCCGGGGAAGAGTTCGTGGTGTTGGACATGCTGGCGTGATACATAGGCATAGTGAGCATTTTGACATGAGGCAGGGATGTGTATCGGACATGCGCAATTGCACATGCCTCCGAGACAACGCCAAGCTCACCCTTTATGGACATTTTGGTAAGCATGTTTGGAATTTCAATCCAGGCTCTCTCCTTCTAACTGGCGCAGCCGACTCTTGGGCTACTGGCCCTGTAAGGTGCACAACTGTCCATCTACATCCTTCCCACACCAGCTAACTGCTATCACTGGAAAGGATCCCCAGGTGCTTGCCTCTTCCCCAGAAGTCGAGCCACCATTGATGGAAAAAAAGTGAATCCCGAACAACCATTGTTCTAACAAAGAACTACACCCACACAACCAGACCAACCATTAAAAAAACATGGCCCAACGGACTTCCAGGGTCTTAGTGATCATCCAAAGAACAAGCCTGGAGCCTTTAGATCAACACCGGGGTCACAAAAATTCATCAGGAAAAGATCCCACCCACCCCTTTGGATTGTATCCCACCCACCCCTTTGGATTGTATACCCAGACTCCTTTGGATTCCATCCATTTCACCTGGGACTTCGGGGCTACAGCTCGAGTGTTGTGTCATACTTGATTTTCAACAGCAATCGCTCCAGGCGGCCGACGGCGGCAAGTCCTTGATCGGACAGAAGGTCACGGTCTGCGGATGGGCCCGGCGCCCGAGGCGTTGGATCGATCAAAGTGCGACCCTTGCAGCACTTGGGGAGATGAGGGTCACTTGGTTTGTTTGGGTCACTTTTCAAACTGTTCAACCATTTGGTTCAATCACTTGGGTTTTGATTTCTATTCTTTTGGAGGAGCTCCAGAAGTTTCGAGTGACGGAGCTCTCTTGCGAACCCCCCGAAACTCCACCCACCCCGCTGGACTTCTTCGAGTGAGCGCAGCTCTTCACCGGCCTCAGTTGCGCACCGTGCGCGGCCAGAAGTCCATCGTCTTCCTGAAGGCGAGGAGGGCAGTGCCGTGGTGGCTTGGCCCGCGCTGAGGTTTGGGATTGGTTGCTGGGTCATGTTCATGTCAACCATACTGGAGTCTAATCCACCTGGGTGTGCATGTGGGTTTTGGTCCATCTTCCATCTTGCAGGGGGAACTGGGAGGTGTCCCTAGTTTACAGGTGATAGCTGGATTTCATACCCACCCACCTCTGGAGTATCACATATCCTTCCCTCAACTGCGGACCGCATCGCACCACTCCGCGCACCGCGTCCGAAGAAGTGTAGTTCGAAGCGCACGGTCCGGGCGCCTGCTTAGCTCGCAGGTGAACGATGGATCGACGGTGCAGGACTGCCAAAAGGGATGTGCATTCAACAAACAGATCACGATGAATGATGCAGTCTCTCTCTTCCTACCCGAGCCTACCCGAGCCTATTTCCTAGTCCTAGAGTTCTTTGATGTTCTTTTCTTATATCATCCAATTAAGAGCCATCTGGAGTCCGTTTGGATTTGGTTTTGATAGGAAAAAGGTAGGGAAAACGACTAGATTTTGGGTGGCTGGTGGTCCGACATCTCTCCTTTTTCTTATGCACTCTGTCGAACATCTCACATGGAAGTGGAGTGAGCCCCCCTGTTTCTAAAAGAAAGTCGGCTTCCAGGGGGCCATGCCATCCACTTCCATGTTAATGTTAGTGAGTTGGAGCGTATATAGATGGGCGTGGAAGGGACTGATATCACCAAATTTATCCTCTGCTCTTCATGGATTTAGGCTTATCTTGGGTCCCAAAATCCATTCTAGATGGAGTAGACATGCCTTCATGGACCTGAAATGAATTCCAAAGGCCTGGCTGCGGTCGAGGTTTTCAGTGTTTTCAGTCCGCATTCAGGAGCTGCAAGTCGTTGTGCCGCACTCAGGAACCGGGAGTCGTTGGAGCACGGGTGGACTTTGCCACGAGGGTCGCAGCTCGTGGAGCTTCAGGACTCCAACACTGGACCTGCTGGACCTCCAAGCCCCCAGTCCCACCTTCTCAGAAGGCACATGTCGTCGTCAATGTTTTCTGGACGCCAGTAGAGTCTCCAAACTTAACCGTACATAACGCCGCCCAAAGAAGTCATTCCGAAGTGGAGCGGCTTTCCATGACCTCTGCCGGATGGACGGGCAGAAATCATCACCTGACCCACAGGTAGGGCGCATGTCATGTCAACAGCAGATGAGAACGATGTTGACACCACATTGAAACGGTGGACATTCCTGTGAAATCTCTGGATTGCAGACCCCCCCGAAGGTTCAGGCCGTGGTTTCCACCACGGAGTTGCAGCAGATTGGTGCTGAAACACCTCACAGATCCTCATAACCCTCACAGATCGGCTTTTCCGGAAAGCTTAGACGGCTCCGAACACGGCCCCGAACACTGCCCACGCCTGTGGGGCGTTCGACTGGGTGCCGATGGCGCTGCGGCATGGGGTCCGGGTGCCCCAGGTGGTGCTGCGGCGTGGTTCCTTGTTGCTTTTGGAGTTGACCAGCTTCTTAAAACAATTACCCTCCAGATCCCTCCAGTCGCCAGAGAACCTTCAACCCTTCAACAGGCCTTGCTTTCTCCATCCAAACAGGCAGAAAAAAGCGGCAAAACCTGAGGAAAACAGCTTTCTTTCCTTCTCCAGGGATCGACTCGACTCACGGGGTTGGGCGCCGGAAGCGTTCCCTTCCTGGAACGCACCGAGGTTCGCTCCATCCACCGTCTGCTGCCTGCAGCGAGCCTGTCGAGGCGGCCTGGTGGCTCGGTTGGTGGCGAGGGCGTCGTGCCGGTGGAGCTCCGAGGGCCCGCAGCTTTCCCCGCAGCTTTCGGTCGATGGTGCGAGCTGGGTGTTTGACAGATAGATCCGATGAATTGAAATAGGGTCGAAATGCGCTAATAAGCCCATGTTGTTGACGACAACTGGAGAGTATCAAGCGCACAGTGGCCCAGTGGCACAGCAGATCTGAAGGCGAATCAACAGTCTCGGTTTGTCCCACTACCTGAGAAAGGCCTTTACACATCATCATCCACTGGGCCCCTGGTAATCAATTAATGGGATAAACCCAAAGGCTAAGGCCGAAGTCTCAGAATCCAGGCCGAAGTCTCCAGTGGTTTTTCAGGTTTCATGTGGGTCTCGGTCTCCCAGGGCGGCTTCTCCACCCATAATCGTTGCATTGCTGGGCTTCGGGAGGCCGAGGCTAGGCCACGCGCGCTGCAGCTTGACTTACAGCGCGGCCTGCAGCCTTCCGGTGCAGAGTGAGGCGTGACCGAAGTGAGCAGTGTGGGAAGCATGAGGGTCTTTGCATCCCACCATATGGCGACGCATTTTCCCAAGCCAATGGGTTTAGGCGGCTTTTATCGGTTTTTGGTTTATTTATTTTTTTCAGGGGTCTTCGCGAGGTCTCTTATGAAGCGTACGCACCCATATCCCACCTCTTTAGGATGCCCCACCCATGAGGTGCTCCAAAAATGCTCCAAAGGACATGTTTTTTGCATGAGCATGGGGGCATTCCAGTTCGACAGTCCTTCGACAAGTGCATTGGCAATTGTTTTGCATTCATAGCCATCCTGAGGTAGATAGAGTATGGGAAATCCCAAGGCAATTAGGCACAACAAGGAAACTGGTAATGTTTTTGGAGTGGTCACATTCTATTCCAGGACGGTTGTGGGCTCGTGGACTTGTGGATCACTTTGGGACGTGCTCTTGGCAAGGTCCCGGTTGCACGACTACGCCCTGTCGGCTGCAGATGGCTCAGTTCGCTGCCTACAGGTGGGTGTCTGACAGGACCAGGGGGTAGAGGGAAAAGAGCCCCAAAGCCCTGCTGCCCTTCCTTCCACGGTCCTGAAGGTGCTTTGCAGCCTTGTTAACGGGAGTGCCTCAGCACTGCCGGGATCTATAAAATTAATTTAGCTGGAGCTATCTTGGGCAGTATGTATCTCCTGTCGGTCTTCGGGAAATTCCTCTGCCTTGGATTGCTGACTGGAAGAGTTTGTGGGCAAACGGCTTGAAACATTTTGAGACGAGTCATGAGCATCCAAACGAATTGCTCACTGTTCGTGCCAAAGGTGACATGGCCGAGACAGCCTGATGTTAAAGTGATCTACTATGTTCACATGCTTTCACCCTTTAACGTTAGACTGTTGGAGCATGCCCAAATTCCCCGGCCAAGATACACCAACAAGGATATGGCCTCCAAAAACGCCAAGAACGGAAGTTCTGCGACATCACCAGCGCAAGGCCTTCACAAAAGTAAGCCCTCCAGGGCTGGCGCGATCGGATGTCCGTAGCATTGGCTTGGCCAGGCAAGAGCTTGAAGGGGCAGACAGTTGCTGAGACACCAAGCAAAGGCATAGCCAAGGCAAGAGGTGGGAAAAAGTGGAAGCCCCTGATTTGGTGATTTTGCGAGAAGCTGAGGTCATTCATGAGAAGGAAGGGCGTAGAAGAAGTTGGAAGCCAGGAAGACAGAACCCGCAAAGTAAAACCGAGGGCAGTGGATGCTTTATATGACTCATGTCCGCTTCTGTCCCAACATGACGTGAGAAAAGTCTCCAGGGATGCTCGATCCACAGTTCACGCATGTTCACGACTACTTGTAGAAGGACATCATCCGTCATGGTCAGGGAACACAACTGAAAAGGTATGAAAAGGTAAAATCTTATCGCACTTGTTCCAGCGGATCGTTGATTTGTGCCTGCTATGCAGCGCTTTTGCCCGCGCTTGTCTCGGCAGCTGATTCAGCAGCTCAGCCGATCGCATGGCAGAGGGGTACCAGGCGCGGACTTCTTCAAAGTGGATACCAAACATGAAGAGATTCCTATCCGTCACCAGACTATTGAGAGCATCCACAACTCCATCACCAACCATGAATGGCCAATCCAGATGGAGCAAGAGCCACCAGTCGAGAACAAAACCGATCAAACGACCTTTGAATTCCAATTTCTCAGCTCAGTCTTCCGCCCAAGTTCGGGTGAACCCATTGAACCTCCACGAATGCCCACATCGTGTCCCACTTCGACTCTGAAAAGCACGAGGCGGAACCCGCGTGGCCCATCTCTCTGGCGGAGCCCTGCTGCTCACGGCCGCCTGGTGGAAGGTGCCCCCAGTGCTCGACGCGCGTGCGGCGAGGGTGAGCAAGTGCTCAAGAATTTGCAAAGTAAAGTAGCATGAAAAACTGCCAAAGCAAGCATGTTCACACTGACTTTAACAATCATGGGAATGAATGTTGTGGCCTTATAGCTTTTCAAGCGACCCGGGCCAGGCGCGCCCCAGCTCGTGCGAGACGGCGAAGACTGCGGGGGGCTACGGCTTGCGGGCCGACGGGCCGTATGGCGCCCGGACGGAGGAGGAGGCCGAGGTGCAACAGCGCACGCAGGCACCTGCCGCGAGAAGATGCAAGAAAGACCTGCGTGGGGCTGGTGGGGCTGGCCGATCGGCTGGAAAGACTGGGCAGAATTGGCCAAGCATGCTCGTGGCCCTTTCTTGTGGTTGGGGAGGCTTGGGAACTCAAAGCATGGGTGGGGAGGCTCAGTTCGTCAATGGCTGTGAATGGCAAGCGTCCGACACCAAAAAAAACATGTTGCTGGCTACTGGCTGAAGATGAGAGAGGTTCAGTTGTAGATCAGACTTCATGGACTGGAAGGGGGGCATTTTCCTCTACAAAGAGGATTAGATAGGTGTTTTTCCACTTCCATGTGAGTGAGTCAGAAGACTAGTGACTAGTGACTAGTGACTAGAATCTTTTCCAGACTTCAGCCACCTGAATTTTGCAGGTGAACTCTGCCCAGCATCTTGGCTGATGGGCAAAGAATCAGCAAGTCTTAAGATGTTGATGGCAGGACTTGTCCTCTTAGGCTTGGGTTTGCCATTCTATTGACACCTCCTGCCCTCTTCCAGGTGTTTTTGTAATGCTGTTCTTCCTTCCTTTCTTCATCTTTCTTCTTCTGGATCTGACCGGAAGTCCGATCAAATCCGATGAAGTCCGGATGAAGTCCGGATGCATTGGGATCCTTCCGCGGAACAGCTCCGCGGAACTGCCGACGTGGGGTGCGTGAACTGCTTGGGGACATGCCGACGGGATCTGGTAGCTCCAATGAGGATTCTCTCTTCACCATGCCTTGAGGTGGAGAATCTGAGAGGGTCGACCTTCGATTTGCTCAAATCATTCAGTGCAGAACCTGAACCCCCCAAAAACAGGCCCCAAGAGGCCCAAAGTCGGTGCAGGGGGCAACTGGCAGTAGAAGCTGTAAGACGTGCAAGGTTTTGGACTGAATCGCCCTCGCACCAGACCAAGCACGCCCCGAATTGACTTGTGAGATTCACTTCATTGCCTGCCGAGTGAACTTAAACCTGCAAAGAGGTTTTGGTATGTTTTGGTATATATCCCTCAGCAGTGGTGCTCCAGCCTCCGCTAACCACCTATGCAACGTGGGTAGGCCCCCACCCTGCGATGAAGGGGGGAGCCGCGGTTCCGGCGGTTCCTCTGCGGGTTGGCGGTTCCCTGGGGCTCGTTTTGTGCCTTCTGAGCCTTCTAAACCAACAGAGGTTGAATGACCCGAACTAGACTATCCCGGGCCCTATTTCAGGTCACTTAACCTCTGTTGGAACCTCTAAGAGTCTTCGCCCAGGCTACCTGAGATCAGCTTGGAGAAATTTCAGATACTTGGCGCCAAGATGACCACGTTGGTGAGGATCAGTTTTCACCTATCATGATTGGCTGGTTCAAAAATATATTGGGGGAGGTGTCCACCGTTCTCCATCCAAAAAAGAGGTGGGGAGGTTCATTTCATCGGGATGATGGGGGCTTTTTGTAGATCTTCTCAGCAATCACCAGCAACGAGACTTGCACACAAATGTTGAAGTTGGTCATAGGGGTGCCGCGTGACCACCCATAAATAGTGTGAATAATTTTAAAGCTTTGTCATGCATTTCCCTCGTTTGGCACTTGGGGAGTCTTGGGGCCGCCCCGGGTGCATGTTCAACATGTGTCCAGGCTTGCAGACGCATAATCCAAGTGTTCCATCCGATTTCCCCCGCAGACATGGGGCCATTCGCCTCACCGGGCGGTGTTCACTGCCTCCCACGGAGATGGTGAGACGGCCTCGCGGGAGCGGAGACGGCTCAGGAAGCATGTGACCGGCTCCTCCCTTTGGGTCGCCCATGGCGGTGTGGTCTATGACATCACGAACTTCGCCAATGAACATCCAGGCATGGGGAAGTGCAGGAAGGGCGGAGCAAGGGATGGCGCAGTGGAGGACGCGGCGGCGTGATTCTTGTGACGTGATTTGACCTCGCTGGGATTTCTCAAAGGGGTCAGGAAGGTCAACAAATATCAAGACCGAAGGTTCCAGAAGAATTGCCCCCTCCGGGGGCTCACACTTCCCGCAGGCTAGCCAAACCGATGGAGCCAGTTTGGACGCAAGGAAGCACCGGGACTTTAGGACCCAAACACATCCTCAAGACCTCAAAGGGCACGTTCCAAAAAATTGTCAGGTAAAGAGAGAAAATACTTGTGCGAGTTTCGGGAGCCAATCCAAACACATCGCGTCAAACTTTCCAAACATGATTCTTCACCGTCTCAGAAGGTGGCGGTGGATTTCCATGGACACTTTGAATGATCTTGGTTTTCCCCTGTGGGCAAGTCCAGTTCGGGGAAGATGTGTTATTCTGTCCCAGTTCCTTAAGCCTTAAGCAAATCCAAGTGATTCAGTTATATATATCTGACCGGTTGGATTCCTCAGGTGGCGCCAGCGCCTTGCATGGAGCTGGTGGGCAAGATTTGGACTCTCGGTGTTTCGGTGGGAACTGTGGATCAAAGCAGAAGTGCCAGCACCCTCTCAACCACCCTTGAAGTCTTTTAAGGTCTTTGAATGCCGGCCACTTAGTTGTCCTAAACAAGGTTATCCTTCTACAATTTCTACAGGTTCTGGTGGGTGGTAAGCAGTCAACAAGCGCAACAAGCAGAGTTTGGGATTGGGGACCAGAGTGCATGCCGCACCGCCCCTACTTGGGCTGGAGGAAACTCGTGTAGTCTAGCATCGACTTTCGTGGCTTCCATCCTTGAAGAAGAAGTGCGAGTAATGGGAAAGTACAACTCAGTACTGTATTCAGATCATTGTTCAATTCACCCATCTACTCTCTCTCTCTCTATATACACATATGATATGCAGGTATAGTCTTATGCACATATATTTGCACACACACATATATGTATATAGATATAGCTTTTTGTCATTCATGCTTGAGGGAGGGCAGGCTCCACTCCTTTGAGTCACATCTCCTTGAGTTTTCCTGGCCTGTGTATGAGTACGGGCCGGAAAGACCTGCATGGGCGCTTCGCGAGGAAGTGATATGGAAGCACTACCCGGTGCATTACCGGAAGCCGGAGGTGCTTGGAAAGCATCAGCTTCAGGTGGTTGGAGCTTCTTCATGCCAAGAAATTGGCATGAAATTAGGGTTGCCATTGTTTGAAGAGATGCAAGGGGATGACCAGGAGCTTCCCAGTTATCTTTTTAGGTCCTCATGGTAGATTTACCACCAAGCAGTTTCAAAGTGATTCGCACAACTGGGATGAGGGGCCTGGTGACTGGTGTAGTGCAGGTTGCAACATGTTGCAACCCTCTAGCTAGCTCTTGGGCTCCTACCGTTTGAGTTGATGGTCTCTCTCAGGTTTCTGGTGCCTTCTCAGGTGCTTGAGGCCCTGGCACCCTATGCCATTGGTCGACTGAGTGACCAGAGCATGGAAGAGCTGCGGGATGTGCGGAACCCGTCGCTTGGCGGGAACCCAGGAACTTCCAGGAACCTGGCCAGCTATAAATATATATATATATATATATGTATATATATAAATATTTATGTAGTCTCTCCCTCTCTCTATATGAAGCCATCCTGAACTAGATAGAATCCAATCAGCTCAGAGGATCCAATTATAAATTCTTTTTGAACTTTAGTACTTAGTACCTGCTTTGAATGAGCTCCATCCGAATCTCAGGAAGGCCCTGGCAGCTACACTGCCCTTGCGCCGACGCCCCGGTGCAGAGAATCTTGCAGCTTGGAGGTGAGGGCAGATGGTAGGGTCATGCAATTGGTCGTGGTGTGGGTGTAACCTTTGGAGTCACAAGGTTTCTGTTGGATTGTTTGGCTTGAATTCTTAAGCAGGGGGCTAGCGGCCATTTCTCGACGCTAGCCAACGAAGCTAGAGAAATGGGTGGAGGAGTCTGTGGACGCACAGACTTGTACCTGCCAAGAGTTGAACTTTTGATCAAGCTGTGACCCTACTGTTCAGTAAAGAGCTAATGCACTCTGCAGACAAGAGCGGCCGCCGTCATTTCGACCTGTTCGTCGTTTCGTGGAGTTGAACTTTTGGCCTTTAACTAAAGGCGCTCAGGCCTCCTTACCTGGTTGTTCAGGATTCTGGTCTCTTAGGCTGCCGTGTGGCGAGTGGCATTCACGACAGCACGCAAATTCTTAAGTGTGTGTGACATGACCTCCACCCTGCCACGGATGGCCACCTCAGACCCGGCCGGTACCACTGGCTGTTCATGTAGGATCATGTAAGCCTTGGATAGACTTGAACTCCCTGGTCAGGAGTCATCAGCGCATGCTGTGGCGTTGGACGGCGGTCTGGGCAGTGACTCTCACCAGCTCGGTCGGAAGCTCAGCGCAGAGTCCAAGCGACTGCCAAGCAGAGCGTCCCTTCTTCCCAGCCACCCCTCTCGGTCTAACGAAAGCTTGCGGTCACGGAGCACAACTTGCCCGCGTCCAAGTCCAGGGCAGAAACCTCGTACATCTCATATAGACAAAAAATCAAATATGCACATAAATTTCATCGGCGCAGTACATTTATGGTTGATTACTCAATTGTCATGAAGTATTGCTCATTGTCCTTGTGAACAATGGATGGCGATGCCTTTCGGGCCTTAGGTTTGGTGGTGGGCACGTGGCTTCCTCCGCGCGTTGGCGCACGTGCCGCTGCTGGGGCAGCCGCTGGCAGAGGCGTTGAGAGCCTCAGATGGCAAGCCGTAACTGGTTCACTTGAGGTAAAAGATCACTTGAGTGATCTCTAGTGGCTGACTAGGTTCTGTCAATCCCCTCGTGGTTCACCAGGCCAAAGTGGTCAGTCGAAGATCACTTAAGCTGCCTAACGTGCTAAAGGGGCTCCTGGACATGCCTGGGATGATCCCAGGTCACCTGCTGCCTTGCTCAGTGCCGGGCTTGGGAGGTGCGCAGGTTTGACTGTTGCGGTGAGTGGTGTCGACAGATCACTGAAATGTAGTAACACAAAAACGGCAATTCTTTAGCTGGATGTGATCCTACTTGAGGGAAGCTGTTTGGGCCCGATTCCACGAGAATTGGAGATTGCTCCCGCAAGCTGCCCTCTCAAGAGCCCGATGTTTCAGAGTCATGAGTCCAGTAGAGTCGGTACAGTCCCTGGACAGCTCCACATCGAAGTGCAGTGAGAACCACGTTGCGTGGTCTTCGGATGACTCATGGTCATCCTTGTGGGGTCATTTCAGTGTACCACTTCCATGATGATTTCAGGGAGTGGAATCATTTCATACCATTTCTATTTCGTTCACCTGGCTTAGATACCCGGCCCCTTTAGGACATGAGGCTTGCTCTTTTGACAAAACGGTGCATGTGGACCTGTGGACCCCTCAAAGATGCATGGTGATCGTGATGAGCTGATGCGCTGTCTGATGCAGCAGTCTTGTTCCTTTTCGATGGCAGGTGGTAATAGGTGGGGTGTTCTTCTTGTTGGAAAACGTTGGAAAGTCTCGAGTTGTGCAGGAGCGGCTCCTTTGCCAGTGGTCGATGAAGCTGGAAAGCGTGGGCGCGTGGCGGTCATCGGAGGTCTCTGATCTCATTTATGGTGAGTTGATGGGACCAAGGAGACCAGCGATTCTGATGTCCATTTTTTGACCAAGGCCGAACTGAATATGTCAATCCTGCATCACCAAGCGGAATCAATCAAACCCAAGTTCTGATACTGATACTGCTTGCTTTCAGTGTGTGTGTGTGTGTGTGTGTTGTATGCTACACCCGTGCAGTGAGTTCAAAGAACGTGGCAGAGACCAACAGGGCCCTAGCTAGAATTGGGATCCAGCTGTTCCACCAACTCCGGGACTTTATTGCGATCGATGATTTCACTGTCAGCGACGCGTTCCCTGCAGATCCAAACACACCAGAAGTCCTGGGGTGGTCTTCTTTCCATCAATGCCCTGCTAAAGCAGCTCATGAGAACGATCTCGGATTTTGCAGCTCGTGCCGTCCAGAGCGGTTTCGTTCCCATGGCATTTCCCCTGACACCGTTCTCCGCTGCAGGTGGCATCAGCGGCTGCAGCTGCGCCTTCAGCCTGGCAGAGTCGGGCTACGAGGTGGACACCAGTAAGCTTTGTTAAACTGAGCACTCAACAAAGCTTAGACTGGTAATCCTATTAAAGCTTAGACGGGTAAAGCTTAGTAAATCCCACATCATCACCTGCCAGGACCTTCCGAAATCGCCCCGGTGTCTATTTTTGGGACACTGCCGAAGAAACGAGGGTCCTTTATGAGGCGTCACTTATAGATCTTACAGACACCCCGAAGGGAGGGTCCTGGTGCAGGTCACCTTTTTGGGGGGATTTGGACGTGGTTTCTCACTTTGATTCGTGTTTTCAGCCAATTCGACCTGTGTGTGAATGGCTATACTGGAATACCCGGTTCGACAGTTGGAACAGATGGAAAAGGTTTGGTTCACCTCTATGACACCAGTGAGAAACAGCGGAACCATGCGGAACCTACACCCTGTCCCGCCAGCCAGTAGATCTCGTGGGAGTTGGTTGTTGCATGTTGTTGCGCACTATGTCGAACAAATCACCGTAGTATAGAGACACATCTAACCCAGCCAGTCAGCATCATTCAGCTCTGGTCGCTGGTAGCTCTGGTCGCTTCGCATCTGAGTTCCTTTGCAGGTCACGGTCTACGAGGCGCGTCCGGTATTGGGCGGCAACGCGCAGACGGCCAGCTTCGTGGTGGGACAGAAAGGCTCCTCGTTTGGGACGCAGCGACGCTGGGCGACTCGGGTTTTGGCGGCGAGCTGAGGTGAAGAGAAGACGGTGACTCAGGAGCCATGTGCAGTGAAGCAGGGCGGGTTCAGAAGCCAATCATGGAGATGAGCCTCTAGTGGACTGTTTTGACGCCCCACAGCCTTTTTTCACCTGTGTCCACTTTTCATGAATCATTCATGGTGATGTGGAGAATCTTCACATTCAGTGGCTTGCATATAGGGAAGCATTCAAGAGATCATGTAATATATATATATATATGTATATATATATATATGAATTATGAATCTTGTATTATATAAGGGGCCTTGTACAATCTTGACTAATCTTGAATCTTAGCGGCTTGTGTATAACAGGCCTCATGAACCCTAGCTAGCCTTCCAGCACCATTAAAAGAAAGGTTGACCTAGTTTTGTAGTTTCACATCCTTAGTAAAACAACGGCTGATCGGTATATTTAAACCATGCAATTCACGGTGGGCCAGGAATCCTATGGGTTGATCTCGCTTGTCCAACTGGTTTCTTGGAATGTCCCACTGACGCACGGACGGCGCCCCCATGGACCGTCGTATCAAATGCGTTCGCTCGGAGGACTTGAGTGTCCTCTATTGGGCGCCGGAGTTCTACCGAAACTACACCGCTCTACTCCAACACCTGGGCGTGACCGGGCGCGGAACCGGGAGGGGAGTGGAGCAAGGAGCTGTTTGGCGGGTCCCTTCTACGCCCGGGTGGCGGTCAACTGGTAACGCCGAAGGGGTGAATGTTAGAGTCTTATGAGACCATGGGCCAACAGGGCAACTGCATCACCTTGGATATACAGCCACTCAGGGTCAATCTACTCAGGTCTGTTGCTGTATCCACGGGTTAAAAGTAGCAGCAGATGCGGCTCCCATCGCTGCTTCCATCGTCCCATTTTCGAGGTGAAGGCGTCCACGGTGGAGCTGCCCTATGTGATCCACAGCAACGTGCACGGCAGCAGTGAGTTCTATGTGCAGCCCGGCACCTCCAGTGGCTCGGCTGCAGCCCTGAGGTTATGCTCGCTGGCACAGAGCTAACTGAGGAGATAAAGAATTGTGCTTTCTTCCTGAGCTGTCATCTCACTAGTGCTGATTGCAAGTTTGTCTTTTAGTATCTCTTGGCACCTTTTATATAAGACAATTGAATCTTAGGTTTTTGGGGATTCAGATTCGCAAAACTTCACATGGGGGGAGAACACAGAAGACTCACTCACTTGGGGATTTGGTAAGGGCCAGTAGGAAGATTAGGAAGGAACGAACAGCGAGCGTGACCAACTTTGAAGTAGTAGATGATAAGTGGTCATCAGAAGATGCAATGTTTTGAGGAAAATGCCTGCCCCAAAACAGATGAAACATCGCAGACAGCAACACCCTTCTTTGGACAATCGTGGAAACGGCACCTTTTTTTTGGGAACCCCCCCCCTCCCCAAGCCAATCAAAACCTGTCATTTTCTCCTATCATCTCCTATCTAAATCTAAAGCAACCCAGTGGTCAACGAAAATCCCCAGGTGTTTCCCCAGACACTCCATGTATGCCATATATGCCTACATTGACCCCCAAAACCACCCATAAATGGAGTGTCTGGGTTCTTTCCCTCCAAACCACTCCTGCGAGCTAGGTGGCCTGCATGAGATCTTAAAGCCCAGCCTGGAGCACCGTTATCCGCACGACTTCCAGCGCTCCTCGCCGGATCTCCTCGGTGGGGAGGGTGGTGCACCAACGAACCGAACGAACGGAATCGGCAGTTCTCGGGTGTTTGCGAAGGTTTTTAGTGCACGGGCATTTAGGCGTTGGAACATTTGGACTGCATTTCTGGGGATCAGTTGCTTGATGTTACTTGTCGGACACTCTTGTCGGACACTCTTATGGAACACTCTTGCGGCACACTCTTCTCCAACACTCTTGTGGAACGCTATCGTGGGACACTCTTGTGTCATCAGATATTTGTGGATATTTAAGGCCCAGCTCGTGATGCAGGATGATGCAGGCCTTGTTTTAAAACAATTCTTGGCGCGAGCTGGGGGTATGGACCACCTCGGAAATTCAGGGGTGTTGTAGCATGAGCCCCAGGAGTCACACAGACCTGACTGGTTGCGGACTTCAAATTCCGGTTGGTTCAAAGAAGCGTCTTCGCTTGGCTGTTTGTGTCGGAGCTCGTCCGGCGCGTCTTTCTGCGCGCTTCTTTGGACGGCTTCGCGAAAAAGGTTACGACTGGATGATCTCCTGCATCGGAAGCATCAACTCCTTCTTCCGCTGGGGCTCCCAGCGACCCTCCTTCTACACCACGAACCAGGTGACTTGGAAGAGTGAAAGGCTCGGATGGTGGGGGGTTCTGTTGTCCTACTGGGTCCTACTGCAATCCATGTGCATTGTATTCGGATGTATTCTGTATGGGTCTATCGGTCTATCAGTTTATCTTGTTGTTTCAATCACTGTATATATTTCACGCACCTCTCAAAGCTCTTGGCTCAAATCCCAAAAAGTTGTCCAAACGCAGTGTTCAGGGATTTTGGCGGACTGAGTTCTGGGGGGTGAATGGAAAGTATGGTTGTTCAGACCAAAATTCGAGGTGTGTGATGTTTGGATGGGGCTTTATTATGGCAGAGGATCGCAGCCGAGTATGGGCACCTGAACTTCTTTCTAAAGCGGAAAGGGGGGTGGAACGTTGTTCAACCACGTGTCCCAATAGAGAGATTGGAATGATTTAGAACTAATTTAGAACTATAAAGAACTGACAACACACATCATTACAACCTTCCCACCACTCAAGTGCAGCCCCGCAAGTAGCAGAGAGGCATGAGCAAGGAGTCTTTGCGGCCGGGCACGGCAACTCCAGGTGACACTGCTGCCCTTCTTGTGCCCCTTCAACTACGTGCTTGGTCTTGCAAGCGGCCGGAGATGACATTAGAAAGGATCAGATCATCGCAAGGTATTGGTGATTGAACTGAGGGCAGCGGTTCTGTGGTCAGACTGGAGCACTAAGGTGCACAAATCGATTTTTATTTGACTTGCTGGCGGGCGAACGCAAGGATTCTGGGCTTTTGGCCCTAAATGTTCTGGGAAGTCAAGTGCCCCCAAGGGATTGCTTCGACATATCTCCGATCGAAGATTCGGGTCCAGACCGGGTCGCGTCTGCAAATGTGGAGCACGCTTTGAGCACCGCGTGTTGCCGCTCGTGCGTTCGCGCGCCGCAGAACGGAGCGACCAGGTCGGGCTCAAGACGGCGGCGGTGCGGATCTTTGGATGCTCCGAGGAGTTCTGGGAGAACGTCATCAAGCCCTTCCATGGCGACTTGGATGGAGGACAATTGGGGTAATTAATCAAGACCGAATGTGTGACGCTTCTTTTGGAGAGAGGATGGGGCCCACCAGGTGCCCACCCAAAAAAGTTCGGTGGAAGAACAAGTGACGCATCTTTGGACCCGAAATCCTTCAAGGGGTGTTGAATGGACTACCTCACACTACCTATTGGCTTCCATTGGGCACCCCTTGGAGGGTCCTGGTAAATCACCCATTGCTTTGATTCCTCCAGTCGGCGCCATTGTTTTGACATGGGCCGTGCGAGGCTTGAATCTGAGCACCGTCCATATTGATGACGTGCCAGGGACGGCCTTTGAGACGCTTGGGATGAAGGGAAGATTCATGGAGAACATGGACAGATTTGATGTGATGCTAGCGCCTTTGTGACGGGTGACCCTAGGGGGAATGGGAACCTATACAGAGAAATACCTGTAATAACCCAGACACATGTCCAATGACCCAGTTGGGGGTCTCACAGAAGTTGGCCATTTCTTGTTCCACACCTGAGATTCATAGCTGGCTGCAGCTGTGCCGGGGTGTCTGCGTGTTTTGTGAGTCGAAGGGAGCGAAGCCGGTGCGCCAGTCCGGTGCTTCAACCGTCAGACAGTCAGACGTATATAAATTAAAACTGATAGATGCAATGACATCTGCTCTTGTTGGAAATTGGATGGAAGAATTGGATGGAAGATGGAAGAGTTGGACGGATGGCACCATCTGAAATCTTCGAAATTCCGTGATGGATTTTCCCTCACCACGAAGGGCCAAGCCATGGCTGCCATTCGGATTTTCCCGATCTGGCCGGCTGAATTCTGGCCTGACTGGGCTCAAACACAGCTGGACGCTGTTTGACAAACAGGCAAGCACGCAAAAGAGTGACATATATAATTAGTGAGAGAGGAGGCAATGTTCTAGTCAGTTTGCCATAGCCACATAGCCGCTTAAGAGGTGACATGTCATCCCACCTAGCACTTTGCAAAGAGTTTTGGACCTGCGGTCTGTTTGAGCCAACCGTGCTGATGGGGCTGGCGTGGCTGGCGGCGCTGAGCGTCTTGGGAGCTGTGAAGAGATGGGGGTGGAACACGGAACCGGTGTAACATCCGACAGAGTCCAGAATTCGGTTCTCGGAAGCTAGTTGAAGCCGGAGAACTAGATCCCAACGTCCATCATTTGGCCCAACCATGTCTGCCCTGTGTCGAAGAAGAATGGAACACATTTGGGTCTGGAAGCCTCAAGACTGCACCCAAGCTACGCCCGACCCTTTCAGGGTCCACGTGAGTTTTCTACATTGAGCTGAAACGGTCGGCGGTAGAACTGAAACTCATGGCGACTGGCTTTTTCGGCATAGCAGTGGTTTCAAGAAGATGGCCCTGGCACCCAAAGACGTCTCCTTTATGGGGGTCCATCTTGGGGATTAACAAGCAGGCCTTCACATCCTCCACGCCACCAACACACCACCAAATGACCTCATGCCTCAGGCTTCCTGGTGGCTGCTCAAGCCTACCGAGTCTTAACAGAGGCACGCGGATTCTGAACATGGCTTCGCTTCGCTTTTGGGCACAGCAGTCGTTGCAGTGGAGATTCTACCTCCGGCATTTGCAGAGGGTTATTCTATTGAACCTTGAAAGCTTGGAACTCATCCCAAAACCGTGGACCCGCCACCCCTCCCGCACTGCCACAGGAGCTTGCGACTTCAGATGCTCAGGCCGCGGGCCCTCCCAGCGAGGAGGAGCAAAAGCAGGACGAACGCCCCGGCTGGGGAGCACCAGGGGCTGAGCACCGCTGCGGCACTGCTGATGGCCAAAGGGGACCCCGAAAAATCCGAACCAGCTTTCCTCCACGTTCGGCACGTCACCTGTAGCCTCTCTGGTTGGTTTGAAAATAAAGCCCCAAACGAGTCAAGGACCTCATTTGACTGAAGTTGCTCATACAAAAACATACAAAAACACTATTGAACAAGGTAAAGGACCAGGACCAGGTTTTACTGGGTCAGACTGGACTGGTAGGGAAGCAAATTAAAGTGACTCACAGGTGCAGGTGGTGACTCCCAGCCCCTGACCCAGTTGCTCCGATTACCGGACTCCCCACGCGGCCTTGGTGACGACACCTGATCAGTATCATTGGGGGGTGCACCATGATGCACCATGGCCGGGGTCACGAGTGGTAGACTTGTGCTCATGTGGCTTGTAGATGCACTCAACGTCCTTTTGCATCCTTCTTTCTGTAGCACAGTCGCCCCCCCCAGAATTGGGTGATGCTTACAACTATTTAGCCCACTGCCTCGTATGTTTCAAGCGAGTTGAGACTCGAGACCAATTGCAGCCAGACATTCTCTGCCAGGAGCTTCCTGTCGAGGTGTCTATCAATAAGCCTCTTAGAGCTGATTCGGGGTGTCCAAGAACCACCACCTGTTGGAAGGTCCTGGTGGTTTTTTCATCGTGACTTTCGAAGCCAGGAGTTCTTCCAATGCACCCGACAATGCCGTTGGAGCTTCGGTCTGGAACTGGCCATCGTGGGTGGGCGTAGCGGCTGGTGGCGCTGCCAGTGCTATCGCAGCTGAGCTGAAGGAGAGACTATGTTGAAAGACATTGTTTTTTTAAACATATGTTTCCCTAAAACATGTCACGTCACCCAGATAATTGGTGAAACCCAGTAGTTCTTCCATGTTCTTCCGCAGAATTGGGTGAACCCAAGACCGGTGCTCTTCTTCGGGAGTGCGCAATATTGTTGGCACAGCAGCCTCCAAGCTGACAAGCTCACAGAGTTGTTCTGGAACAGCAAGCTGAGTCCTGCATTTCCTGAGGCCTCAAATCCTCAGGCCTGGCTTGTGCGGGGCATTGGCGTACTTCGACCATTTGTCTTCAAAAGATTCCCCGACTCCTTGAGCAAATCATGGGCCAACGTGGATGGCGTGGCCCCGATTTTGGATCACCACGTGCCGAAAAGCAAACAGGTGGCGAAGTCCACTTCTCAGGAGTGTAGTGACTTAGTCGACCATCTCTCAGACTGATTCAACGCTTCGCAGCGCCAGGTTTTGATGTGTTGGAGCCGGTGATTGACAGATACTCCGCCAGGGCCTCGGCAAGACGGGGGTGATTCTTCACTTCATGCAGGTGTTTTGCCACGAAAAGGGGCCAACGGAGTTCCACATCGCAACTGTACCAAGAGCTGCGTTTCAGGTGAATCCAGTTAGACGACCATATGAAACGCCACGTGATTATCCAGGTCCACGCTCCAAAGAGCTGACGAACTGTGGAGCATCAAAAAGATCCATCCACTGAGTTGAGGCCTCGGAGACTCTAGCCGATGCCTCGGACATTGTGGTTTTCGCATCAAGCTGAGATAGTTGATGAAAGATACTGACATCACCCCATATCACCCCCCCATTCACCCCAAAAGATGGTGCAACATTTCAGGGTTCAGTGCAGCATGTCAGGTGGTGTTCAGGTGAGTTCGATCACCTTCACCTGACATGCTGCACTGAACACAAGTGAAGTTGGTGGGTCGAGTCACTCCCTCTACACATCCAGTGGGGCGTGACCTCCCCGAGCGTGGCAGTATAAGGAAACGACAGTATAAGCGTTTCCCAAGGCATTCACTGACCGAAAACCCACACCTTCAAGTTCATGAAAGCACCACCCTGTTGCACGGTGACTGGGTTTGGTCCTCGCACCGGACCGTTAAAAAGGCCGGCCGCGTCGACCGGTCGAGAGCCGTCCGGCCGTCCGTGGAGGCCAAGAGCTTCGACACGGCGAACACCTGGAGCGGCAACGACACGGTGGGGTGGGACTCCGCGCCCTGGGTTGAACCGCCCGGAGAGACGGTGCGTGGGCGTCGGCCGGTTTGGCGTCGGCCATGTGCCAAGGGACTCTTTCAAACTGAAGGCCCCCTATATGATCTTATATATATATATATTAAATGCATACACGGATATACTGTTTGGTATCGCATGATGCGGCTAACTCCTGGAGAAGTTGCAAGGTTTGTCATTTTGGGATGGCTTGCGTAATCTTTGACTGCAGGCATGTACAGGCATCTACTGCATTTGACTGGTCGAAACCACCATGCTGCACACTTCATTTTGCTTGGAGAACCTCATGGGGTACGGGGCCGTCACCCTTTGGGTGGCGGTATTTTGGGACATGGGAAGGTTTGTCGTGGCGGTGGTCTGACACCCAGCTGAGGATTTCGTTTGCGTGAAGCGTCCGGATGGCACCTTGCTCACCATGACAAAGGAGGAATATGAAGCGGCTGGGAGCACGAAGCTTGGACTGCAGTCATGGATTGTGAATGAACTGACCTAAGCCACAGTCAGCATGATGCTTGGCCTTGATGGCCTTGATGGTAGGGATTTGAGCAGGGAGCCGGTGGCAAAGGATGGACAAAGGGCAACAACAAGAGCAACGATGACGACAACAACAATAACGAGCTTGTGTAGGAGGAGCAGCTGGAGCACAAGCAACGCACTACACCACTGATGCTTACAAATCTACTTGTCCTGTGGAGCATTCCAAGCACCACGGCGGCCTTTAAATCCAGACCCATCCAAAATTCATACCCCGACGTTGATGCGCCGAATGACGATCTTCTTTCGGGGTGGCTACAATGCCTTAAAACCGAATAGAGCGCAGCAATCAATGAATTTGGTTTCGGGGTGGCGGCTAGAGGTTGCCGCATTAGAGAATTCTCTGATGCAAGCATCAAGAAAAGCGGTTGAAATGAGATGGGGTTTGTGAAATGATGATGATGTTAATTGTACTGTATGTTGAAATGATGATGGAAAACCACGCGTTTTTGCCCTCCTTGACAGTTCCAGGCAGCATTTGCAACATCTCCACTGTGGGAAATGCGCTGCTTGCAGTGCGGTCAAAGACCTTGAGGTGGGCATTCACTGGCATTCCAGCCTTCCACCCAACCTGGTGAGAACATGTTGGACTTACTGTAGTTGGCAGAAGCTCCTGGTGACAGGTCACTGAAACATCAGAGTCACACCGCATCCGCCCAAAACAGCGCTGAAGATGCCATGCCAAGCTCTCCAGCTCTTGCTTCGCCACCGCTTGCTTCGCCAGGTGCTGGTGACGACGCGAAAGTGGATCACGGAGGTGCGCTTTCTGGGAACAACGCCCAATCCACGGCTAACATCGTTCCATAGGACTGGAATTCTCACTGACCAGCTGGGGTGAAGAGTGAAGAGAGGTGAATGTAGGCAAGTCTGTCTCATACCATCATTCCTTTTTAGAACTCAGATCTGCTTGTTTTCCACTTCTTCCGGATCTGTCCCATCCCCCCTAGTATACTGAAGTGAATTGATGGCCCGAAG